CTCCAAAATGTAAACAAATTTGGCCCCAGCTCACTGATTCCCCCTTACGCAGAAGGAAGAACATCTTTGAACAGAGAGGGCGGTACAGCACATCCCGAAGGAGCTCAGAAAGCAGGATGTGGGTTTTCTGTAGCTGAAGGGTCATTCATAAAGAGATGACAGACATCTGGATGAGGCTGCCGAGCGATCCGGCGCATTATTGTGCTGAAGTGTGAAGAAGTGGTTATGATTACGACAATCCGCTTTAAATGATGCTATCAGTCTGCTAATGAGGTGGTGGCTCTTTTCTCGCACTGCTAGCGGGATATGGATGGGGAAAATGTTCTTTTGTGTCTCCACCTGACAGATGTGCTGAAAGCCGGCAGAGCAGCAAACCTGTATCAGCGTCCTGCTGACTATTTTTATCCTCCCATTATGCCACTTCATGTCTTTTTAATCAAATACTAATACGGGATATTTTTGGCTCACAGAACACGAGTCGACCCACATGTCACTGCGGTCCTGCTGGAGTTGGAATGGCCTGTAGAAAAACATGAAAGCTAAAAACTACAACCTATATTTTTATACATGTAATCCCCTGGAAACTAATCCGTGATGTCCTGGTGACGGGAGACATGACCAAATATTTATTTTTCCCAGCAGGAAAGTAATACAAATGTAGCATGTCTCAGTACAGGGGATGGCATGCATTTCAGACCTAAAGGGGTATAAATGCGCCACAAGATCATTTTTGAGGTCGTTCAAGAGTTTTTGTCATCATTTCATCGTGAGGTTTACAGAAATGCTCGAGTCTCTAATTCAAAGCATGTGTGTACTAAAACTCTCCACAAAATTAAAAGACAAAAAGAACACAATCCCGAAAAATTGCTCCGGGAAGAAACATTCTGGGCCTCAACCATAGTGGTTGTTTTGCACAAACAAACAAAAATGGACACAGACTCATACTAAAAGAATTTAGACGTAAAACCACAGAGAATTTTCTTGAAGTCTCTATTTTGAATTAAAACTGCACTTTTCAGTCATTGCTTCAATGTAATTGTTACTACAAGTATTAGGATATTATGCAACACCAATTTCTTCATTTTAAGGTGGTCTGCACTGGTCAAACTACTTGCTATTAAGATAAATTGCAGTCTGTGATCAAAATAAAAGTCGTGTTATGCATCTAAAGTTCTGTCTGTAAATCAATGTCTTTTCAAGGTAACAGTTCAATCGGTGCATTATAACAATAACTAAAATTCCTAGTAGCACCTTCCATGCAAGCATGTGACCTTTATTTTAAAGTGACCTCAGAAATCCTTTGACACACCACCAGAGTCCTGTGGCCTGTCTGACAGCACTCCTAATTCGTCTTCTGACAGTATGCAGATGCCCTGATAGCTATTTATAAATTGTCTGTGAGTAACCTGCCTCTCATTCCTTTCTTCTGCTCTCCTTCACAGCAGTATTGTATCAGGTTTGCATCACGAGATGACATCAGACACCAAGCATGCTTCCAGTTCCATTGACTGCAATAGCTAAATATGGCTGTCGGCCGGCCGGGTGGGCGGCAGCAGGCCAACTCCATTACACGCACTCAAAGACATTCTTTTAGAATGCCTTTACTTTCTGGCAGATCTTCCACAGAAAGGGGAAAATATCCTTATAAGGAACATTTCCACTATATGTACACTACAGCACCTGACTGATGAACACAAGATGTTAGAACCTATGAATGACTGTTTCAACTTCCTTAAAGGGACAGTTCACCCCAAAATGATTATTGCTAACCCTCATGTTTCTTTTGAATGAGTCAAAAACAGTGTGTAACCAGTGGTGTCCGATTCCTAAATTTAATGACTTTTATGAGTTGGCACTTTAATGATTAGTTCAAAAAGACATGTTACTGATTGTAAATTTGAAATAATGCCCTGAATTATTTACAGAAATAATGATAGCACTTTATTTTATAGTCCTGTTACTCATATACTTGTTATATTAATTATAATAACTGGGTAATAACTAGTTACTTACCCTGAACCTACCCCTAAACCTAACCCAAGTAGTTAACTTACCATATTGGCCCGAATATAAGACGACCCTGATTATAAGACGACCCCCCCCCCCCTTTTCCAGATGTACCTTTTGGAAAAAGGCTTTTTAAAAACCAAATCTTGTTTTTTCTCAGTAGAACACATTTTCATATTGCATATTTTTCCTATTTTAATATTTGTTTTGAAAGTATGGTAAAAACTGGTAAAATGTACCAACAATCACATTTAAAAAATATACACTTTTTCATATACCATAAAAAAAAAAAACAGGTAACGTTAGCCCATTTGAATTAGGACATTTAGGCTATCCATCTAATAGTAGCCTACCAAAATCTTATTAACAGTAGAAGTTAAATCTTACTGTAGTCTTCAAATCTGGGTACTGTCATACGTTTTAAAATCACAAAGAGAGTTTGGTGCCATCAGGCTAACGTGACAGTCACAACTCATGCAGCTGTAAGGTTTTCTGCTTCTTTTGTTTTTACTCGCAATCTTTACAACACGCATTACATTACGTATTTCATGGCACACTCGTTTTATGCGTATTTGGCGCCACCTAGTGTTGTGGGTGTATTATTGAAATGTCAAAGTCTAGACCCTGAATATAAGACGACAGCGATTTTTCAGATGTATTTCCAAGAAAAAAATATCGTCTTATATTCGGGACAATACGGTATATTATCCAGTACTTCCTTAAGCACACTGTAAGCACGGGTAAGTGCACATACTGTAAAATAAAGTGTAAGTGAAATAACTAAGAGTCTCTTTTATATGTAAGCAAAATCTAATCTTAATTGAACTTTAATTGAACTGACATTTTGAGTTGTAAAACCAAAATACTAAATATGTACCATAAAAGTAGCCATGCATCGCTATCATACAATTTCTTTAACAATGGAAATTTCAAAGAGGTGGATCCAGTATTATTGTTAACTAAAACTATTAAAAATGATTGAAAATTTATTGAAATTAAGTTGAAAAAATATAAAGCTAAATCAAAATAATAATAATAATAATGACAAAAGCACATAAAATTACTACAATTTATACTAAATTTAAAATAGAAACCGAAAAATAGATAATATTAATAATATATAAAAAATATATTATTTTAAACAAGTAATAATAAAACTGGATGGGTCCCATCATTTATTTTTGCAGTCTATTTAATATCTTATTTTAATCTGACCCAACACTAAAACGACTTCAAAATTACTTCACAGAACATTATTTGTGTAAAAATAGCCAGTTTTGAAGGGAAGGCCAGAGCTATTAAGCCCTCCACAGCATTTAACTATGCAAGAGAAAGCACTGTCTGTCCCACACTATTTTAATAAATCCCAAAACACCGTCTTGATGTAACATACACATGATTATAAATCAGTATCGTGCCTGCAGTGTACTGAAGCCGTGCACCCTCCTCGGGCACACTTCACTATGCCGTGGAGCATATCTGTCTGGAGTGAAAAAGCCAGCCAAACAATGTTTGTTATGCAGGACGTGCAGCATTGTCCAACGCCGTCCTCGCCTGGCTCACAGCACGCAGGGAATACACCAGTGGTTAATGTTTAACAGGCTGCAGGGGCTCTGCAGATAAAGCCTGTGAAGATTTAACATTTCTTCTGTAGCAGAGAAGTAGGACATGACCACTGCTGAGTCACCATCAAAAGACTGAGATCATATTCAGTATTCAATAGAGCATCCCAGACTCCCTTGGGTTCATCTCATGGAATGATGCATCACTGATGGAGAAACACTCGCATAGCAGATCTACTCTCCGTCGAGGCAAAGGCTAATAACTTTCATTAAGTCATTAACGACAACACAATTTTAAAATAGACCTTTTTTACATAATAAATGCCTCAGCTCTTACTGTGAATGATTTGTCACGTACGTTAATCTAAAGAAAAAATTGGGCAGAAGGATTTTCATACTCTTTCTGCTCCTTCGTAATGATTTTTCAGCTGATGTAACCACATAAAAAAAAAAAATTCACGAGTACATCTGGGTTAAAAAAAAAAAATTATAAAAAAACTGGGATAAATAAAAATATATTTATAAACGTAAATATAATTAAATTCTATATACTTTTTCATTTTTCAGATAGTTATTTTTTTATAAAAATTTTTTTTAAATGCCATGCTTAAAGGGATAGTTCACCCAAAAATGAAAATTACCCCATGATTTACTCACCTTCAAGCCATCCTAGTTGTATATGACATTCTTCTTTCAGACGAATACAATCGGATTCTGCAGTGTGAGAGTTCACCTGGTTCATATTCTCACCATCACACATGCAGATGTCAACTCGTAATCTATGAGTGCACATGTTCTTCATGGGGGTGGAAGGTGTTTTGTGGATGTAATTTTCCCACTAAAACAAATTTTACACTAGGGCTGCAAAGCGATTAATCAATTCAAAATAAAAGTTTGTTTACATACTATATTTGTGTGTACTGTGTATATTTATTATGTATACATAAACACATACACACACACACATATATGCATTTATTTAAAAAATATATTTGTATGTATTGTATGCATTTGTATGTAAACACTTGTATATAAATTATATTAGATCTAAATATAAATACTTTATAAATCTAACATATTCTTTCTTAATTATAGATGTATGTGTGTGTATTTATATATACATAATAAATATACACAGTACACACACATATAGTATGTAAACAAACTTTTATTTTGAACCGATTAATCGCTTTGCAGCCCTATTTTACACCTTAAAGAATTAATTTTGAGTAAATATCACAGTTCTGTTGGGATTTGGGGAAAACAAATAAGAGCCCATGAAACAAATAAATAACTTACCACACCTTTAAATGATGAGTAAGCATCAGAACCCAAAGGCTTTTTGTTTGCTAGCTGATTCAAGCCACTACTACACATCAACCCCTGTTTATACGGATTACTGCAGTCAGTGTCTGTAACTTTGGTTTTTACCTTCTCTGCACCTCCAGCTCCTCTGGTGAAGGGCCATTCTGCACCTGAGGGGTCTGTCTTGGCATCGGGGGGCCTGTGGAAAAAAGGGAAAAATCTGGAATGAGCATCAGTTTGAAACTTGGAAAAAACTTTGAAATCTGATCAATAATGTAAAGCACGCTGGACAAGCCCCAAAAGAGTAACAGAAGATCAGGTTTTAGAGAGAGAGAGAGAAACATGGGCCACTGGTTGCAAGACACATTGATCAGGTGTGTTGGACAGCAAGAGTTAATTAGGACATTATATATCAGGGAAAGGGGAAATGATTATCTGTAAAAGGAACCGTCAGCAGCAGTTCAAATCACTATCACGTAAAAAAAAAAGAAGTGCTAAGCACCGAAACTTCACATATTTGTCACTTTATCTAAACAAAACGTAACATTATAGCATTTTTCTCTAAACAGAACTTCGTTAGAAATGGAAGCTTATGCATAACTGTAACAAACATTATTATAAACTAAAATAAAATGAAAATATAAATGGAAGGAAGGAAGGCTGGCTGATGACCTCATGCTGGAAATATATAATGCAGATGGAAACCCAAGCCTTGATATTGTCTTAATTTACAGCATAGTTTGAGTATAGAGGCTTTGCTTATTTTGCCAGGCTGAATTTGAGAGCAGAGGAAGGTTGAGGTCTGAATGAAAGCTTAGCACGAGCACAGGACAAGTCTCTGCCGTGACACGCTTGACTAATCGATCAATGCAGCATTGTGCAGGTGAGAGAGGTCTGTTTACAGAGTCTGGAGGAAAGGCCCTCTCTGTAGCTCATTACCAGACTTCATATGCCCTCTGCCATTTCTTGTTTATTTGCTACACACAGCAGAGCACTGCAAAAACAAGAACTTTTTTATCGTTACACCTGTTTGACCTGTTTCTTTCCTGCAGTTTCATCATTTTAGTGGGGGAAGGTAGTCTAAATAGCAACATACAGACAAACTATTGACAACACAGCAAAAGGTCTGGTCCACATTGCTGATTTGAGACCATCTGCCCAACAAAAGGCCGATAATTGAAAATGTTTTGAATGTATTTCTCTAAAATGGATTATGCCAAAATAATAAAATCTAAGCAAGCTAAAATAACAAAACATAACATTTCACATAACACATAACATTTCACAAAAAAAAGCATAAACCCTAAAAAAAAATATATATATATATATAAAAAAAAAAAACATTTAACAAAGTATAAAAAAGAGCCTTTAAAAATAACAACTTCAAATAGCCTAAAAATAACAAAAAACAAAACAATACAAAACCTGAAGAACAACATAACAAAACATAACATTTAACATACATTACATATCATAAAAACATCATAAAACAATTTCACAAAAAACAACAAAAACTTAAAAAATAAACTAAAATAATATAAAAATATAACATTTAACATAACATAAAACCTAAAAAACAAAAACAAACAACAGCAAAAAAACAATATAAAACCTGAACAACGTAACAAAACAAAACAACAATTAACAAAACATAAAATACAAAACATAACAACAAAACATGTTTCACACAACATAAATACAATATAAAACAAGACAAAACAACATAAAACAACATTTAACAAAACATGACTTACAAAACATAAAACAACATCTGTCCTGGGATAATAAGTAGCATCTTTTTTACATCAACATGAAAGTTGCAGCAAAGTAGATCATGGCATGCAATGCACACCAAGTAGCAAAGCTAAACTCAACTTTAACCAGAAACAAATGGCTTGCAGAACACATTAATTGGATTAAACAAGTCTGAATGCAGAATTCTCCCTACAGCACAAGACTCCATGAAAAAATATGACATTAGAGCTGAGCCATCTGGACAAGCCAAGCAGTAATCAACTCATCTGTCAAATCTAATCTAAAATTACAGTTCTGTGCCCCACTTTAAGAAAACCGACCATTCGTGATTGTCCATGTTTGTGTAACCCTCTCTGCAAATTCCCTTCTCAAATGTTCTTTGTCTTTAACACATAAAACACACCTACGCTAGCCTTAATGTGTATGTAAAAGGCCCTGTTATATAAGCAGGCACCCTCAGTTTCTCTTCCTTCCTTGAACAGAAACATTACTCAACATTACTCTTAAAACGTGATGAGCTAATCACAAATTATCAAAGCTATTCAGATATAATCTAATGAGTCAGCAGATATAGTCTCTCCAGAGACCAAGGTCAAGTTATACAAATATTAACTTGATTTGTTTTTATGGCCATTATGGAGATTTTTGAGTGCAATGACTGTAATTTGAAACTCTGACACAAAGGCAAGTATACTTGGCCCATTTAACCCTGGCCAATCTGAACAGCACTTTAAAGGCTGGCTCTGGTCCAAAAGCACTCAGTGTCAGCTTTAATATGGACTGATCCTCCTTCAAGCCAGTTTGGTAATGTACTGCCATTAGATCACACACAGATAGCATAACCTACAAATTGACTACTTATTCTACTAGCATGCACAAATAAAATAAAATAAAATAATAATTAAGTCAATATGATATTAATTATAAAAAATAAAATATAAATAATAAACATGATGCATCACTAGAAGCATAATTAAATGTGCATCTTATATTAGTTTAATATGTATTAAAAATAATAAAAATAACAATAAACTTGTTTCTTGTACCACCTTAGCTTGCTGAATTCGCACAAATATGTAATTATTAATTATTAGTAATTATTCAAACACAAAATAACAAAATAATATAATAAAATAATAGTAAATAATAATAAAATAAAATAATAAATAAATAAATAAAATATAAAAGTCAGTGAAACCAGAGATCACACCTAAATATCAGCTCCATTTATGTTTCTACTTCTTAATGGATTGTTTACGGACCAACAGAAAGCTAAAGAGTCAGAATAGCACCTACATGAGAGGAGGGAACCACCAAGCCTCTTCTGACAGCAGATGTATTGTAGAAGTCCATCCTGATCTTTAGGTACACTTGTAACAAGTGCACTAAAGACATTCGCATCAGCTCCTAAACTGCCATCAATGACTCCATGAGATCTCAAAGAGAGCAGCATGTTGTTCTGGCTATTCTCAAGCAAACACTGCAGTGGTAAAAAAAAAAAAAAGACTGGACCAACAGGCTGGCAGTCAGACGTTAGACGCTCTGCCACAACGTTCACTGAGCAGGATGTGGTCCACTTATTGCACTTTCCGGACCTGATCAATTATTCATGCCTGGATGGGCGAAGGGTAAAGCGGTCAATGTTACAACCACATCCCAACTATTATGATCAGGTGGGTTGGAGGAAAACAGGGGGTTTAACCATTTCGAGGCAAGGACAACGAGATACAGCTGAGACACTAAAATCTGGAGATCTACTATGAAGGGCAAATTTTAGATATACACTTCAGAAAAATGAGGGGGAAAAAAATACTATTTTCCTCAGGGAGGATCAATGAAGTTTCTCTAAGCACTGACAGAGAGAAACAAAGCTTGTCTTGGCCGCAGGACCAAGTAATGGGCTTGAAATCAAGTTATCGGATGATGTCACCAACAACTAATAGCCATGAATACACCGGAGAGCTGAATCATCTTTCACACCATCAAAATTCACACCATACTTTAGGACCATAATAAGAGCACAATGAGCTCAAGGGAGGAAAAAGAAATTCTGTTTCCTTCTGAAACTTTGCGTAGTTTACCAGTACTTACTATATGTACATACCACATAAATATATAATACTATTGTAAATGTCACCATACAGGTGCATTAGTTTCACAATTTGAGTTGAATTACTGAAATAAATGAACTTTTCCACGACATTCTAATTTATTGAGATGCACCTGTATATTAATACATAAAATAATACTGGATCTCATTTCATATTCTTTTTTTCAACTCAAAATATATGAAATGGTATGCCAAGAAATGTTTGGTTATCATTTTATAGTTTTTTTTTAAATTTGTTTGCTTGTTCATTTTTAATTTTATTTTACTTAAACTGTGGAACAACAAAAGATATTTTTAAGATTTCGGTCGATACAATGAAAGTCAACGGGTGCGAAACTGGCTTGACATTTACTGTATGGACCCCCCCCAAAAAAAATCTAAATATTCTTTGAGATATCATCATCTGTTTTAAATAAATTCATACAGATTTGGAATGACATGAGGCTAAGTAAATTATAACCAAATGCTAATTTTTGTGTGAATCTTTTTAACAAACATAAAACATCCACATTAATCCATAAATGCACTAATCAGGTGCAACGCGGTAAGTAACAGAAACACAAATTAGGCGATCAACAAATGTGTGTGACATGGTCATGGTTGTTCTGGATAAAAACTAATTTGTTAGCAATAGTGGAGTAACTCATTTACATTAAATCGATTCCTAAACCTACATATGAGCAATAGTAATTGGGATGCTTCTCTTAGCAAGCACCATTAATTATGCCCAAAGGCTTGACAATCAGTCCAAGATTGAGACACCACCTGTTCTTGAAAGACCATTTTTTTCTCCTCTATGTTTTACAACAACATTTGGGAAAAACAAACATCATCTGACACAGAGCCTCATTACCACACCCTGATGCTGTCACCTTGTAAATACAACACAAATCCCCTTATCACTCATATGTTTCGCACAACACGGGCCCAAGCCTTCCAATTAATTCCACAGTTGTGCTTCCACAAATGAGAAAATTACAGTCAAGTACTGCATAATTTGAAGATGAGGAAGCAAACCATTAGTCCGATAGCTCTAAACCGATTTTGATTGGATTCTGAGCAAGTATGTGAACCGGTTAAATGGGACGTTATTAAAGCAAGATTATGCGAGTCAAAAGAAATGTCGCGTGTCAATGCATACAGGATTTCTGTCTCAGTGGTAGAAAGGTGAACGAGTCAAAGGAGACTCTTGGTCTGTTTTAGCAGGCATCCTAGGATTAGGATATAAGGAAAATCATTAGCATCACGGTTATGACGAGTCTCGTTATTCAGGGCTCAAAGACAGAGACAGAAAATCTGGCAAGAAATGGGACTGGGACCTTAAAATAGCAGAA